TAAAACACCTTTGCACCAACCGCAACGCACGCTATGCCTGGTGGTATTAAAGGAAGTCTTCCGCATTTGTATGGGGCTTTGAACTGAAATAGCCATCTGGAAGATCATTCGGTGCAGTTGATAGCCCTACCCTTCTGAAGACCTAAACCCATGTAGTTCCTTGGCTACACGGCCACCAACATATGCAGACTATTCAAAGATAACCCGGACATCTACAACGCCATAATAACGTCATTCAAACCTTGTCATTCTATTGGCCATTCGTTGATCAAGGCCACAAAAGGTATAACCTTTAAGTCGCTCACATATGGCGTTCGTGAGCACGGTTTCTAAATATAGCGTTCGCCAGTTGGTCTCAATCAAGTGTGCAAGGTACGATGACGCCGTCAGAGTAACGTATTGGGGAGCATATTTACTACATGGAGAAACTGTGTTATCCACAGTAGTCTTTTCCAGTTGTGAGTATACCAGTATCTATATGTTAGTATATTTCAGCACATCTGATGCTTGCTTTCATGTATTGAAATGTGGAACATTCCCTTCAAAGAAATGTTCTAAATTTGAAGATATCGAAGGAAGCATCAGATAGGATGAAATAAGCTCACGTATACCTATTGGTATAGTGGAAAAGAGTGCTCTAGACAACACATTTTCCCTGTGCAGTAAATATGCTCCCTAATACGTCATTGTTTGGTTACGTCATCGTACCTTGCACAAAATTCATTGAGAGCCAATCGACGGAGGCTAAATCTGGAAATCGTGCTCACAAATGCCGGGGTATGAACGACTCGACAACTATAGTTTTCTTGGTCTTGATCGCTGTGGCTACTGCAGTGACGGGATTTGGATGACGTTATTATGGCGTAATAAGTGCTTAGGTGGTCTTGAAATGATTTTCCAGAAATAGTCTCACATCTTCGCCAGCGTGTCGAGGAAGACACATACAAATAATTCGACCGAGAACATGCGATCATCATGCCATGCTAGAAAAATGCACGCCTGTGGTGCCCCAAACATGATTTTCGATTAAAAGTTCAGGATAAGCCCCCCCCCCCCCTTGCGATATTCTGCACACACCGCTGTCGTGAACAATGCCTTTACTTGCTGGATTAGGTATATGCATAATACACTGCATTGCGGGTGGCTAAACAAA